CGTGACCGCCTTTGTTGAATCCACGCTGAGACAGGCTCGGAAAGACACGGAACCCAATACTGCCTTAGCTAAGAGTCGGTCTGGCCAGTGATCGGGTGAACAAAGGTCCGATAAACAGCGAAGGAGTGATGTGGTTGGTTGGCCATGGCGATCAGAGGGGCCCGTTCGCCGTAACGAGCTCAATGGCGCAATTGACAAGCTCAATTGATGGGAGAAAGATGAGCCTGTGTATTGATAGTGGTAGCAGAGAGAGAGAATCAAAGGAACGAGTGAATTGAGGCCAGTAGAAGAATAAAAGAAGCAGCAGGCGTGAAAAGAACAGGTGTTTGTGTGGTTTGCAGGGGCCCTACACCGGACGGCCCCGAAGGGAAGGGAAGCGGGCTTAGATAAGCCGCCTGCCGAATTCCGCCTAGCCGCAGGGGAAAGTTTGTTCCCAACATCTCCGTTGAGGAAGTTGAAGATAACAGAATCTCCCTTCCTCTCCTCCAGCTCCTCTATACCCTCCCCGGTTGGACCCTCCCTCTCGTCCATCATGTTGTTCCGCGCTGCGGTCCGTCAGTCCGCGCCCTTGAGGCGTCAGGCCCTCACTCCTCTTGCTCGTCGCTCCGTCACCACCGACGCCGCTTCGTCGCATGCTGAAAATGTCCCCCAGGTTCGTTGAGAGCTCCCTGGATATCCCGGATTGACCTCCGCAATGGCCTCAACTAATGCGATTATCATCTGTCTATAGGAGGATGACAAGCCCTTCACTGTCCGCCTCTCCGACGAGAGCTTCGAGACCTACGAGATCGACCCTCCCCCGTACACCCTGGAGATCACCAAGAAGGAGCTCAAGCAGATGTACTACGACATGGTTTCGATGAGGTATGGCCGCCGTTAGGCCCTTTGCTTTTTTTCCACAGGCCTCATGCAGGATCTAATCTATCGCTCAGACGCATGGAGATGGCCGCCGACCGTCTTTACAAGGAGAAAAAGATCAGAGGTTTCTGCCACTTGTCTACCGGTCAGGAAGCCGTCGCCACCGGTATCGAGCACGCTATCACCCGCGACGACAAGGTCATCACTGCCTACCGTTGCCACGGTTTCGCCATGATGCGTGGTGGTACCGTCCGCTCCATCATCGGTGAGCTGCTCGGTCGCCGTGAGGGTATCGCCTACGGAAAGGGTGGTTCCATGCACATGTTCGCCCCCAACTTCTACGGTGGTAACGGTATCGTCGGTGCTCAGGTCCCCGTCGGTGCTGGTCTCGCTTTCGCCCAGCAGTACAACGAGGAGCCTACCACCTCCATCGTCCTCTACGGTGACGGTGCCTCCAACCAGGGTCAGGTCTTCGAGGCCTTCAACATGGCCAAGCTGTGGAACCTCCCCGTTCTGTTCGGTTGTGAGAGTAAGTCAATTTTACTCCTCAGACACTATTCTTCACAACAGGCATAGCTAATACTCTTCTGCTAGACAACAAGTACGGTATGGGTACCTCCGCCGCTCGTTCCTCCGCCTTGACCGAGTACTACAAGCGTGGTCAGTACATCCCTGGTATCAAGGTCAACGGCATGGACGTCCTGGCCACCAAGGCCGCCGTCAAGTACGGAAAGGACTGGGCCGTGGCCGGCAACGGCCCCCTGGTCTACGAGTACGTCACCTACCGTTACGGTGGTCACTCCATGTCCGACCCCGGTACCACCTACCGTAGCCGTGAGGAGATCCAGCGCATGCGCAGCACCAACGACCCCATCGCCGGTCTCAAGCAGAAGATCCTCGACTGGAACGTCTGCTCCGAGGACGAGCTCAAGTCCCTCGACAAGGCCGCTCGTGCCCACGTCGACGAGGAGGTCGCCATCGCCGAGAAGATGCCCCTTCCCGACAACACCCCCCGCATTCTCTTCGAGGACATCTACGTCCGTGGCTCCGAGCCCAAGTGGATGCGTGGTCGCACTGTCGACGAGACCTTCTACTACTAGATATACCCATAACCACTCCAATCCAAATCTAGATATGTTTCTTTAAAAACACAAGGCTCCCTATTTTCCAGTGCGAAGAAATGAACCTTCAGTTGGCAAGAACTCTGGATGATGATGACAAGGAAAGAAGAAGAAAAAAAGAAAAGAAAGAAGAAAGGAGGAGCAAGTGAAGGAAGTAGGTCATCCTTTTGTTTTTTCTCTTTGTTTGAAAACACAAAAGTTTAGACCGCGCACGCACACACACATCACGCAACCAGACCATTTGGGATTGGCAGGCTCCTACCTACTACTTACTTACTACGCAAAGGCATCCATACCATGGATATGTTTACTATGTAATTTAGCCCGGGAAATTTTTCTGTTTTTATCCATATTTTTTTGCATTACTCCAAGCTTTCAATATCTTGAAGTTTCAGATCCTCTCTTACTAGCTAGTATGTCTATACCTGTAGAGCATTAAGTTAGGGGGTAATGCCTCTGGGAGCTTACATGCCTGTCGATAGTGTCGAGTAAACACTACGTCCTACAAGTATGGAACTTGAATGTAGTGAAAGTATAGGTAGGTTGTATATATGTATTGTTTCCCCGAAAGGTCATAGTGAATATATGAAAATGGAAAGAATGGAAATATGAAATGAGAAGAGAAAGGATGTTGCCAGCAGTCAGTCACTTAGTCAAGTCACATATCCGCACTGCAGCATTCAAAGAGTATAGGAAAAGAAAAGAAAGCTAATAATAAGAGATAGAATATAAGATAGTCGACATACTCGTCCATGGGTATCATCTGGTAAAAAAAAAAAGAGGACGCACGAATATTTAAACAGAAAGCAAGAGGAGATAGTGAATATGAGAAAATGAGAAAATGAAAATGAGGAAGGAAGAAAAAGCGATTTGTCAAGCAGGCTCCTGTCTCAACATCTCAAGGATCATTTCCTGCGTCCGCTGCACCGAGTCCAGTTTCTCTTCAAGTGTGGCTCGATCTTTTTCTAGCTCGGCACGCACTTCAGCGCGCATTTCCTGTCGGAGTTCATCTTTAAGTTTGTTGATGAAGTCGGATGACAGGTGCGTGAGTCCGCTTTGTGCGACGGACGCAGGAGGGGGATCATGTGTAGCCGTGTTGAGTTCCGCTGGTTGAGCGTCCTGGCGCTGTTCGCGAGCACGGGATCTGGAGGGTGACGTCGGTTTCTTGGGCGCAGATGACGTAGGTTGGGTATTGACCGAGTCGAGGTGACGATTCAGTTTTCCCAGTGTCTCCAGCATAGCGCTCATCATAGAATTATCCGTCCCTGATGGCGGATTGTTTGTTGCTGTTGCCGCTGCTGGAGTGGTGGAAGGCGTTTCCCGCTGTTGTGTCGCAAGCCCATCCGGCACACTAATCGCCGGAGATGGGGTCTGTAGTCCTTGATTCGAAAACATACTATCGAACCCTGGGGGTAGTCGCACTGTGCTCTGCGAAACAGGAGTCACAGGTCCAGGTTGGTGCTGGCTGACAGTAGGAAGCGGGCTTGCTGTGCCCTTCCACTCGTCACTGGGACTCATAGTCCATGTATCCCATGGCCGGTCTTTCCTCTTCCTCGGTTTGCGCGAATCGCGCTTCTCGATCCGCCGTGCCTCTGCGTCCTCCCACCTCCGCCATGTAGGAATCCATGCGTCCACTGCTGCCCGCCACCGGGGATTCGATAGGTCTTCGCTCGCGTCCACACCCTTGTCGCGCTGCTCGTCGAGGAACTTCATACGCTGTTTTGTAACCAACTCCACTTTACGGCGCACCGAATGCCACGAGTATGGGTGTCCCTGGTCCTGGGTGAACTCTTCTGTAACAGTCATCCACCATTTACAGAGATTACTGCGCTGTCCGAATTCGCTCGCATGCCGGTTGCAGATGTTGAACAACGAGACTTCTTCAAGGGTGGTCAATCGTTTTCCATGCTTGCGCGACCGATCGCCGTTTGGCGCGCCATCGGGATCGTCGTCATGGTCTTCCATTGGATAGGGTCTAACGACACTGGCTGCTGCTGCATGGAGTGCGGCTCGATTAGCCGCGGTGCCGTTAGGCATAACCCCGGCGGTAGTCGTAGGTCTATGTGCGGACTGTCGGGAAATATTCGTTCCCTGAGCTAGATTATCGGGAGATGTGCCGTAATCGGGATCTGCGAGAGCGTCGGCGTGGGTGGGGTCGCGCGCACCGGGATCCGTATTGTCACTTGCTTCGCTTTCAAGGGTCTCAGTCAGTGGTTGTTGTGATCGCGAATCGATAATAGCTGGTCCAGGTTGGCGCGTTTGCGGGCGTGCTGGTTGGTGATTGTGTGGATGAGAATGGGTATGAGGATGGGAGAGGGCAGTTTGCGGCTGCGGCTGCGGTGGTGTTTGAGAAGGCTGCGGCGGTGGGTGCTGTTGTTGCTGCTGTTGCTGCTGTTGCTGTTGTTGCTGGGCTATACGAAGATTGGAAGACGACAAGGTGGGAAGAGGTGTTGCGCGCGATATCATAGACGGGAGCCATCGTAACCCAGGCACTTGTAGGGAGGATTGAGTAGTGGAGGAGGGGGAGTCGATGCGAGGTCCAGAAGAGGCGGCGGCGGCATTGGTCGTGGAGCCATGCCAGGGATACATTGACATGGTCTGTGATACTGGACTGTTTGTGCGACTGGCGGGGTATGATTAAAAGGACAAGAAATAGCAAAAAAGGACGATGGGGATGAAGCAGCAGCAGTGGACGCACTGCCGGCGTGCTGGAGATTGAAGAGGAAAGAAAGAGAAAAAGGAAAGTCGAAGGTCGAAGTCGAAATCGAAATGAAAATTGCTCGGTCGGATTTGCAATTTCGAGGGTTGACAGGCGAAAAGCCCCCCGCCGATCGGGGCCCGGCGTGTATTTTTCAGCTGACGGTAAGCCGACCACCATGGTCACTTCCCTTTTTGGCAGGTATACAATACATGCGGTATCGCGTCAAAATAGTGGACGTAGAGATCATACGGAGACTGTGTTAAGATAATTAGACTGTATAGGATAATTTGAATGTAGAAGAATGAGAATAATAGTAAGAAGTGAGGATATATTTCATTGGTGATTTACATTTGTGATCATCCTGCTCCAACACCGCTGCAACATGATATTGACCCTCTCCTATCAACAGAGGACCAGACAGATAGATATAAAGATACACGGTGAGCACACCGACAATGCAGAGAGAAAGATCTAAGAAACAATCAAACCAGCGACCCAGTAATACAATAAGACTGTGGAACATGCCCGCAGAACAGCGAAAATAAACCCAAAGAACAAAAACAGATGGGGGCAACTAATTAGTACAAGCATTTCTCATGCGTCTACCGCCGTCTCAGGTACCAGTGGTATGCCAGCGCTCCAGTCGCAGGACTGAAGGGCGACGGCACCTCCGACAAGCCCGGACGAACCACGGGGTGGCGCAGGTAAACGGCCGCACAAGCCTTAGGGTGCACCTCCAAGTAGCGAGGGATCGTGGCAAAAGCGCTCATGAAGTCCCGCGGCCGCCAGGGCGTAGCGTACGGCTTCGAATGGTCGATCGGGTTATCACGCATCTGGACAAGGGCACGACGGAGAATCTGGAACTCCTCATCGGTCAGCTCGGACGTGTCCACCTCCTGTTCGGGATTCTCAGCAGCCTGGCGGAATGCCTCGGACAGCTTATCGCCGGGCTGAGTCTCGCTGTCTGCCTCAGCAGCGGCCTTGGTGTCGGTGGACTTCTCGGAGTTGGCAGCTGTGGTATCTTGTCTTTCCTTCTTCTCTACCTTCTTGGCCTTGAGCAGCAGAGTCAGCTCGGAAAACTGAGCCTCCAGGTTGTCGGCGAGAACGTTTGAATCAGAACGAGACAGCACGCGACGGACGGCCTTCTGGAATCCACGCAGCTCCTGCTTCCGCTTGGCCGGAAGCACCGACTTGCTGTCGGCCATGATGTTCTTGGCCTGAGACAGCAGAGCCTGCAAGGTCTGGCGCGGGGACTGGACCTCTTGCTTATCCTCCTGCTTATCCTCCTCTTTGGCCTCACCCTCTTCCTCGGCTTCCTCGGCCTTCTTTTCCGTCGCCTTCTCCGCTTCCTTCTCAGCAACACGGGCCGCGCGCCGGTCGTACTTGTTCTTCGGAGCACCGGTGGCAAACATGACACGGTCGGTCTCGACCTGGAACAGATCACCAGGGTTGAGCAGGTAACCGGGGTATCTCATCTGTCAAACGTAATCGATCAGCATCAATGGCAGCGCCTAAATGGGAAGGACCATGCAGCGTCCCAGGTCCACTCACCTTCTTTCCATTGACCGTGACGGCTCCATGAATGACAAATTGCCGCGCCTGCCTTGTACTGCTGGCGAACATAGCCCGGAAGACGGCCACATCCAGCCGGCGCTCTAGGGGAGCAAAAGTCGCCTGTGTATAGGGAAAAGGTCTGTCCAGTTGATCGGTCTCGACTCTCTCGAGCCTCGACACTTTAGAGTACGCGGCTGGATCAGGCCGCGGCTCAACACCCATACCACGACCGGCGGACAAGGCAGAACCATCGTCTTTGGCCAGTTTGGCGGGATCCATGGGCATCACGCTGCGAATGCGGGGAGAAAACATGCGCACCCAGTGCTTTTCGGAGACCTGTTCACCATGATATCCACGGGCCATCGACTTGGCATCCCATTTTTGCTGGAAATGAGTTCGGAACATGGGGTTCTTGATGGAGAACCGCTTCATGTTATATAGGTTCCATTTGCTCCATGATTGCCGGACTTTCTAAGCAAAGCATACAAGAATTAGCAATTGCGGCCAGATGAGCAAGGGGACAGAACAAGGAATATTTTCATACCGGCTTGCTCAGATGCTGGGTCGCCCTGTTCCTCATGATGGCGAGATGGGCAGGGTATGGCCTGCTAGCAGATGTCTTCTTGTCTGTCTCGCTGCCCGTCGGCCTCTTTTCCCATGCTTTCCCGGCCGCCCAAAACTTCGCAGGTGCACGTGATATCAATCACGTGTAGCTGAACTGTTTGATGCCATCTGTCTGAGGCATCAGGTACCTTTGATAACCTATGTCTCTGATTGGTGGAACCAACCTCGCTTACCCTTAGCGTTCCTTCACCGCCTCCACCGACGGGTATATAATCTTCGCTCGCCCGGCCAACTTTCAGAATCTTTTTTTCTTTCTTTTCTTCATACTTACCTTGTTTGGGTGGCTGCGATCAAGAAGGCGGTCCACCACGGATTGGTCCCTGCATTGCACAGCGCGGCGGAACAATCCGTTCAACGGCCTTCGGGTCATTGACAGGCGTATTCTTTGGCACTCCTCCACTTTGTGGAATCTCAATTCTTTTCATCATTTCTTCGCCTTGTGCGGGGGTATGGGGAAGAGAACAATTGTAGTCACTTTTGTAGCTAATTAAATATGTTGTAGACTAGGTAGGCATTCGCGTCAGACAGGTGTTCGTATTGTCTCTGGATTGTCGTGAGAAGCTCAGCTTGTCGCAAGGCTTAGTAGTTGTCCATACACTCGCTACAGCCTACCGCTATGTACGGCGCGTCTGTCCTGTCTGGTGGGAGTTAGTCATTATTGTTCGCCATCACTGCCTTTTTAGACTAACTACCCTTCCTGTAATAATCCGGGGTAAGCAGTGCTCGATCCACTCTTTCCCATTGAACCTTGGAAATGATAGATACTGTTTCTACTTGACTCGTTGTATGTTTCTCGTGAATTAGAGAGCTCAGATGAGTAGTCAATCCGGCGGGCTACTCAGTCTTAAATCTTCAAACACTCAGGCTGCGACTACAACACACGGTGGATAGTAGCAAACACGCTCTACTACAGTATCTCATCGTGACCTATTCTCAGCCTCTCTTCTGTGTTCTTCGCCTCCTGTATCTGGAGACCAATTCATCCTTGTTGATCATCTCACGGATATAGTACCCTTCAACTCCTCGGTCTTTATATATAGTGCCGGCATCCACCGCGCCAGCAAACCAGCAAAGGCGGAAGTATGTAATGCTACTAGTAGTAGCATTACATTGAATAATGACACCACTGGCTTAGCTGAGAGTGCGCTGTGAAATATATTATTAGTATAAGACCTAGTAACACCATATTCCATACTAGCAGATAGCCAACAAAGAAAGACGGCATGGAGCAACAGAGTTTACACAACAACCTGCTTAGGAGCGGGGTGAAATGAATAGACTACGCCGCAAGTGCGTGAGAACTCTCTCTCTAATCCATGAACGATGAGAATACTACTCACTCTAACCAATGGGGCAATGGGGCAGAGAGAGCATCCATTCAACCCAGAGACCACAGCGGCCCTTGTCCAAGCCTGCAAGCAAAAGGGCTTCTCCATCACATCAGCCATCCATGCCGCCTACATCAAGGTCCTCATGAAGCACGCAGACCCCGAAACCCCTACATCTTACATCTCGGTACGCCAACATCGGCGTCTTCGACCTCCGCGAATACTTTCCAGAGTCATCAATAGCAATGTTTCGCAACACATGGCTACTCCCCCCCCGTTCGCGGTCGACTTGTTGCCGGGTGAGTTTCTCGCCATTGCGCGGGAATTAGATCACAAGTACAAACCCACCTTAACTGGATTTATAATCAAGATACTGGGTTGGATGTTTAGATGCCTATGAATACATTGGTAGCTGGCACTTATTCAACAGACTGGACATTTGCATTATCATATTCTATCGTATATCATTACTCTGGTATCGTTGGTATCGTTGTATAATCATTCAGACATCCACCCTTCCACATCCAAGCACCATAGATTACCGGTGAACACTCTTCAGATCAGCAGATCAAACCTGCCTCAGCTACAAGCAGCAGCTTAATCCTCCCTCTTGGCATTCGGAAATGCCTCCTCTAGCGCCTCAGCTTCCTGCGGCGTTACGGCATCATCGAGGATTTCATGGGCCATTTCAACCGTATCGTCGTCAATCCCTGCTTCTAGCACTAGGCCTTCGCTGAACGCTAATCGTGTCATGACCACCAGGAACTTTTGCTTCCCGCCAGGAACGCGGGACAGCTTGGGCTGCAGATCTGCCTGCTCGCGATGGCGCTGTATTACGCTATAGACGAGACACATGAGCCCGTTGACCAGGGCCGCGTGGAGGTCCTTCTCCGGTGGTTGTGTATAAAGAGCTTCCAGCTCATCATGCATAACCCGGATTAATCGCGCCAGTGCGGTGGGATGGGATGCGATGACCATGCTGCCATGCGTGCTGTCCGGTATGCGGGGATTGAAAGCGACGCTGGTAAGGAAGGCTAATGCTTCTTGCCGCATGCCGCAGACCTCATCTGGACTGTACGGCTCCTGTCCCTCGTCGAGCAGCGGTGGCTCGCTTAGCAGGTTCGCGACGCGATCAACGATGTAGTTCTCAATGGTGAGCTGAAACTGCTCGGTATCTTGGACGGGACCGAATGAATCAGCGCGGATGCTGGCCGAAAGTAAGCTTAGCATCAGCGTTATGTCGTCAATGCGCTGCGAGCAGTTCAGCATTGTCAGCACAAAGTCGTAGCGCACATGTCGCCACAGCTCAATCACATCCTGTCCTACGTGCATCCGAGTGCATGCCATGTCATATAGCAGGCCAAGAACATTGGTCGAATCGACCAGCGGTTCCAGTTCGGATAAGGGAGTCTTCCGCGCCTGGCCTAGGTTTTGTCGGGAGACGGGCGAGGCCTTGAACCGGGGAATTGCGTTGACTTCGGCGGATACTTGCAGAACCGGCACTAGGTGCGCGTACAAGTCACGATCAAATGCTTGAAGATCTTCCAATATGAGGTAGTGCATGATGGAAACGAACATCGGGATAGGTTGAAAGAACTTTTCTGTCAACGCACGAGACCACAACGTTATGATCGCCCGTGCGTACTCTACCATGTAGTTCCCAAGGTTCAGCTTCTCAGTCTCCTCCAAAAGGATGGTGGAAAGCATGCGCTGTGGCTCGGACGGGAATGTCAATCCAGCCATGACCTCGATATCAGGCTTCTCATCCGGGTGTGTTCTGTGATTCATGAGGCGTTTTATTATACTGGGGTCCACAATGTTAGGTACCGCGCCTATTTGAGCTTTATCCGGCACAGCATCTAGCATTGCGTCGTCCGACAGATCTTCGGCCAAATCAGCTGCCACTGGCTCCACTTGCGGACTTAACTGCAAGGGCGTCGTGGTATCCTGGCTGTGCTTTCTTTTCCTTTTTCCCGGTACGAGTGGAGTGGTTCGCCTGGAACGTGCTGACTTGCTGGGAGAAACGGCGAGAATTTCATCATCGTCGAAGCCGTCGCGGAATGGTAGCACCTTCGACTTCTTTGGAGTCACCGGTGGCGCCTTTTCCTCTGCTCGACCTTTTGCCTTGAGCTGATTGGCGCGCATGGCCTCCTCTGCTAGGTCTTGCCTTAAAAAGGCGTTTTCCGTGGCGAACATCTTGCCCTCCGCACGAGCCGCCGCAACCTCCTCCTCATGTTTCGCTATCTCGTCCGCCATTGCCTTTCGCAGAGCTGTCAGTTGGCGGTCATAATCGGCGATGAGTTTGGCCTGGTTGGCCCGGATGATGGAGATCTCGCCGGCTTTCGTTGCAGCCATTGATTTGGCTGCAGCCAGCTCCTCGGCCATTTGTTTTTGTCGCGCGCTCTCTAAAGCTAGCTATCGAGATGATTAGGTCACATAAACTCAAGGATGGTGGTTTTGCATGAATACCTTTTCGCTAAGCTCAGCATAGGCTCTGTGTAGGTCCTGAAAATGAGAGGCGCCATCTTCTTCGACCTCCATGGGGTCCAGTAGATCGCCATAGTCATCCTCTGCCACGGCCGTCGCAGCAGCAGCATTTGGCTGATGCTGAGCTGTAGCAAAAGTTGCCGGCTGATCCAGTGCAGCATTTGACTGAATTGGGACCCCATTGTCCAAAACCTCGGCGTCCAGCTCCCCTATATCCCACACATCATATTCGTTGCTCAAGCCGGTGTGCAAGGCAGGAGGAGGTTGTAAGGAAGCGTTGGAGACGAATGCATTATCAGAGAATGCCCCACGGTTCTGGTCCGAAAAGGGTCGCGACGATCTCTTTACGTCAGAGACCGAGTATTGTGGTTGTTGTTGTTGGGCAGGTTTTGGGGCCTGAGTTGCGCGATAAGCGTTCTGCTCCAATTGGAACAAGGTACCGGGAGGGATGTCGTCGAAGCCATCATCGGAGAAGAAATCATCGTCGTTATCTTCCATGCCCTGGATTGGACGATCGCCATGAACGGGGAGAGTGGAGCTTAATTGAAAAAAAGAGAGCGCTAGTTGGTTGAGTTATTTGGGGGGGGGAGAGGATGAATGTTGAGTAAATGAAAGTGAAGGAAGGAAAGAAATGCGGGATGCGGAAAAGTTGACGTCGTGTTGGGGAAGAGAGAGAAATCCAGATGGAACTCTCAAAGTTGGTTTGTTGCTTGCCAGTTGCTGCCTCACGGGATCTCATTCTCTTCCCTCTTCAACAACTTCTCTCTCTCCTTCTCCCTCCGACCAACCCGCACCTTTCCCACCGTCGAATTTCTCCCTTGGTGACATCCTGAATTGACCCGGATCCACAGCAGTTCGCATAGTCTCCCAAGACCCTCAACTCTTTTCTCCTCCTGGGGATCTGATCTACTACTTACTTTAGTTGCCCACCGCTCGTGCTCCATCCCGCTGTTCCCCCGGTCGCTATTATTTCATATGAATTTTCGCTAGACGACGATCATTGCTCCTTCGCCTGCTTCGTCTCGTCTCCCTTTTTTTCCTAACCAAACTCGATTGTCTCCTGCGCTCGCGCGTTTCGCCTGGTCGGTCAAATTCCGAGCTTGATTACTCTCCCCGCAGCCATACGACTCGAGAAGCCGCCGTGCTCCGTCGCTCTCCCCTGCTCCCCTGTACATAACTTTTCGTCATGTCCAAATCGCGTCGGAACGTCAGGTTCCCACGTCGGATGTCCAACTCCTCTGAAGGTCGCCGCTTGAGCATCTCGGATGCCAGCGATGTCCTCTCCGACCCCGGTAGCCCGGCCAAAGATGGCAGCGTCACCGCGCCTGCCACTATTCCCGAGGAGGTGAGAGAGCTACTGCGAGCTTCCCGGAACCCCCCGTGAAGCTGTTCAAAACCTGTTAGACAAAAGCTGACATGACGACCAGAAATCCGAGAAACCCCAGTTGTCCGATTACGAAAAGAAGAAACAGACCTTTATTACACGTACGATATGGACCTTTGTGATGATTTTCGGCTTCTTCGTGGCCATGTTTTCCGGCCACATTTACATCATCGGCATCGTTACCGCGGTCCAGATCATCTCGTTCAAGGAGGTTATCGCCATTGCCAACGTGCCCAGTAAGGAGAAAAACCTGCGCTTCACCAAGTCGCTGAATTGGTACTTCCTGGCTACAACCATGTACTTCTTATACGGAGAGAGCGTCATCTATTACTTCAAGCATGTGCTGCTGGTGGACCGGGTGTTGCTGCCTCTAGCTACTCACCACCGCTTCATTAGCTTCACTCTTTATGTTATGGGTCAGTTTATTACTTCCCGCGTACATTCTCGCCTGTTGTCTTGCTGACAGGTACTCCTAGGCTTCGTCTTCTTCGTCGCGTCCCTGCAGAAAGGACAGTACCGGTTCCAGTTCACCCAGTTCGCGTGGACGCATATGGCGCTCTACCTGATCGTCGTTCAGGCCCACTTTGTCATGAACAACATCTTGGAGGGCATGATCTGGTTCTTCCTTCCCGCCTCTCTCGTCATCACGAACGATATTTTTGCCTACGTCTGCGGTATCACCTTTGGTCGCACCCAGCTTATCCAGCTGTCCCCCAAGAAGACAGTCGAAGGCTTCCTTGGCGCGTGGATTTGCACCATCATCTTCGGCTACTTCATGACCAACATCCTGATGCGCTACAAGTACTTCATCTGCCCCGTCAATGATCTGGGTGCCAACGTCTTGACGGGTCTTCAATGCTCGCCCAACCCGGCCTTCGTGCCTCAGCCCTACCACGTCCCGGAGTGGACCGGCATACACAAGACCTTCCATATCGAGCCCATCCAGTTCCACATTCTGATTTTCGCCACCTTTGCTTCCCTCATTGCTCCCTTTGGCGGCTTCTTCGCTTCCGGTCTCAAGCGTACTTTCAAGATCAAGGACTTTGGCGAGTCGATCCCGGGCCACGGTGGCATCACTGACCGCATGGACTGCCAATTCATCATGGGCTTCTTCTCGTACATGTACTACCACAGCTTCATCGCGGTGTTCAAGGCGAGCGTCGGAGATGTAATTGAAGCTGCCATCAACGGTCTGACGGTCGAGGAGCAGCTCGAGGTCGTCCGGGGCTTGAGCAAGTACCTGTACAACCAGGGTACTGTCTCTGAAACAGTAAGTCAGCCTTATACCCAGTGTACGTTTTATATCATGACTAATTCACTTTACCTATCTACAGATCCTGGACTGTATCAACACCGAGCTCCGCCGTTAGAGCGGAAGCATGATGACTCGACCCACCCTTGATCCGACGGATCTCCGTAACGAAAATCCTGTCCTTCTCTTTCTCTCTCTATAGTTGCTGTTGAGGGTAAAAAATGAGCTATGTCCCATCTATACACCTTTCTAATCACGTCTTCTAGCCTCCCGGGGGGGCTTTCTCACTCGCGAGGACAGCACCGGGAAGCTCTTTCTTTTGGAAATGTGCAGCACCCTGCATGCATGCATGTATTTGTCACGCTTTCGCTACTTATATTTACTATTCCTTGCTCTTGCATTGGGGGTTGTTGTTCATTGGTGTATACCTGTTTTTTCAAAAGGGCGATAAAGGGGGGAAGCAGGAATCAGGCATAGGTGAAAACAAATGGAGGGTGAGGGTTGGAATGCAGCAGGGAAGCGCGGATACGAAATACTGAACCCTGCAACATGACTTTGACATGACACATACTATGGTAGTTATAGTCATCTTATCATTTTTTATTCCTGTCCTCCATCTCTCTCCCTCTTCATTGGAGTTCTTTTCTGAAGACTGTATTCTTCTCTTGCTATGCTCTTGTTCTGTAACAAGCAATGAGGAATGTAATAATGTAAGAAACAGGACAATAACGCAGGAAATTGTGTAAACGACAATCCAACTTGTACTGTGTTTCCGTCATGCTATATCAAGTTATAATCTCAACTTCTACCCCCTATCCCGTCCGGCATAGATAGTTACAAAATGCACGTCTTAGCTACTCAGACTGCACTTGCACTACATAACACTTATAATACTAATGTACAATGTATAATAATAGAAGTTTGACCGTATAGAGAGATAGTAATATACATTGCTCACTTTGTCACAGTTAATCTATGCGATAATTTATTAAGGCACTTCTATATAGGTGCAGTCATATTCTCATGGACTGGTTCCATCCTTCTCGTGACCCTCCGTCATCAATTTCAATGAACCCCAAGGATCAACCAGGAACTTGTATGGCCTGTCTGGGTGTCTCCCGTACTCAATAATTCGGCACACGGCGCACGAGTACCCACCAGTGGGCTCGCTCACTAGGACTCTGGTTCAGACCTTGTCGCTAGAAGATATCTGTCCGAGGGCCATCCATCACTCGATCAATGATTGAGCAAAGCGCGGATGTGCTCGCTCGTCTGGGTGAGATCCGTTGGGTAATGACCATGCTCGGTGATTCACCCTGCCTGCTCAGACGAGACGGGCCTCTATGCAGGATGCATTACGTTAGTAACACATGCAGAGCGATGTACGTTCCTTACAGCTGGAACGCAACCCAATATTCATCATCTGATATATGAGAGATTGAGAGAGTGTGTTTCTGAAACAATTCACTCCTCAACCTCGTACTCTTCCATCTCGACTTTAAAGTACGCCGCTACGTGGGATTTCTCGGCATCAGCACACTCCGGATCCAGCATGAAGCGCACGGCGCCGTCGCGGCCCTTCTCAGTCGCCCTGGGACGGTCGCCATTAGCAGCAACAGGAGTGAGAGGGTGCAGTTTAGCGGTAGTGTCCTTCGCGGCTTTGTCGCCGTTCGTGGCCTTGCTTTCGCGAGGTTCCGGAACCCAGTTCGTGTACCGGGGTAGTTTCTGGGACTCGGCTTCATTGTTCAGTGGAATACGGACGGTGAGGAAGCGATCCGCTGGGAAATGGGGACCGACGGTGGTGTGTCCGCGGTTGTGGGTGTACAGTTCTAGGAGGTCGAAGAGGGTTTCTTTCGATTTGGTTAGCCTTGATAATTTCAGTGCAGGGAACGCGGGCTCGGTCATACCCATTACTTCCTCGCGACTCGTCTTCCAATTCGCATAGTCAACGCCTTGCTCTACGGCCTCGATGCGCTGGTCAAGTAACCGCCCCGCCAGTTCCAAACAGGTGAAGGCCATGGTGGAGGTCGTTTGCTTGATGGGCGCGTACGTGCGATAAAGGTCCTGCGAGATGCGATACGCCAGGTTCGAGACCTCCGATTGCGACGTCAGCCCGTACTGTCGGGCGAGCTTGATGAGCGTCTTTTGCGGATGACGGGTCCGGAAGTCGAAGCCGGATGCCTCCAGCATTAGTCTCTCCAGGCCGATGATGCCTCTGGCGTGTGCTTCGAAGACCTGCCTTTATTAGCATGCACCTCCTGGGAGAGAGTTCAGAAGTACCAGCATACCGGATTATCAGGGGCCATGTGCTCCTGCGGCGGCAGCTTGAGATTATACGCAGCGCAAACAATCTCCCGGGACCGCTTCAACGTGTCCTCGATTTTGCAAGCAGTGAAGAGCGCAGCTGCAGCGGCGTCCTAAATCAAAGTCAAAAATACGTTCAGTGATACAATAGGGGGCACGAAGTGGGAAGTACCATATAATTATACTCGTTGTCAGGATGAACGAGTCGGAACTTGTGGTAGTACACCACAGCCGTGTTGAAAGTGCGGATCGGGCTAACTACCTGGTTAGCTATTTTGAGCAGTAGAGAATCCGGCGCATGGGCACCTACAGGTAGAGCACACGGCGGACGTTATCGATCCAGGTCACGCCTTGCAAGCGAAGGGATTCTTCGCGCAGCGGATTGACTCCCATCGCGGCAATACATCGCTGAATGGTCTGCTCGAAGATGTACGGCTTGGCTACCTGGATGAAGGATGGGTGGATGGGCGGCGGGTCAGGAATGGCAGCATCCGGGGAGGATGCTTCATCCTTTTTGTCGGGAGCCATGCTGGGGTTATTGATATATGAGCGATGGCTGGACAGGGAAACTCTGGTTGGGATGGAATTGATGGGATGCTTCTTGATGCTGATGGAGCCGACGACGGCCATTGGCCGGCTGGTCATGTGACGGGCGCATTTTCAAAGAAGAATTACAATACATAAATTACGATATTTGGTATGGTATGATGACTAACCGGTGTAGTTGCATAACAGTGAACATCTCGACATTATTGTAATTCAAACAAACTGCTCTCATTCTAGCAGACATCAGTAGTGGGGACTAATTACTAGTCATGGTTACAATCTGAAGATTCTAGCTTAGCGACCCACTTAGCTTTTCTGTTCGCTAAGAAATAGTATTGAAGTATCGCTGCTTACTATCAATACCTATCCTATCTACTTTAACCTAATATTGTATTGTATGGCTAGCGCGGGTTAATCTGGTTCCCATGTCTGAAGAAGATTTGATAGAACTAATTGATTTACTTGTGAGATGTAGGCTGGACCAACTGAGTACCTGGAACCTCTAGTCATTTCCCTCTAGAAGCTCAAATGATTAGTACCAGACTATATAGTTTGTATATAGGTCGTTGAGACTATACTTAGTTCCAAAGCACAACGTGATAGTATGGATATATCATCTTATCAACTCATGGAATCATTGATCATCAATCATGGAACCCCCTTCCCCTCTCTCGTCGCCCTCGCCAACCAACTCTGCGCCTTATCATCCGCATACCTTTTATAGATGGGCAGATAATGGACCGCCTCACTCGTCGTCTCCTTCGAACTCCTCCGTCCCTCCACAGCCTCCAACCACTTCCTCCACTTTCCCCAAACCTCTTCATCCTGCCCTCCCTCCCCAGGCTTCGGAATCCCTAATCCGCCCTTGAACTCATCAAACGCCCACAGCCGGAAAGCCCACGGCGCGAGCACCAAATCCGGGAGCGACACCTCGGAGCCCCAGAAATACGGGCCCGTGGAGTCGATCTCCTTAGCCCATTCCTTCAAAGTGGAGAGGAACTCCTGACGGGCTTGGTTCAGACCCTCGATTCCGCGCGTCGAGGGCTGGTACTGGAGAAAGCGGTGCAGGGTGGGGATGATGCGCGAGGTGACGTAGTCAATCCAAATACGGGACCGTGCGCGCTGGTAGGGGTCCGAGGGGAGCAGGGGCCGGTGATTGGGGTACGCTTCTTCGAGGTATTCGAGGATGACGGTGGATTCGTAGAGAGGTTTGGAGGTGTTGGTTGAGGGGTCGGGCACGGAGATGGTGGGGACGAGGCCTCGTGGGTTGAGGGCGAGGAAGGAGGGTTCTTTGTGGTAGGGGTTTATCTCGATGTACTGGTAGGGAATTTGTTTTTCTTCGAGAACAAGCCAAACACGTTGGACTGAAAATTGATTAGTTGATTACGAATGCGATAGTGAGAAGGTATGAGGGTTGAGAGGTATACCGAAGCTGCGAAGGCATTAGTAAAGTCCCGAAATGGTGTACTTTGGTGGGGGGACTTACGGACAGAACCAGCCGGCATACAGCTTCAACGGCTGCTCGGCTTGGTGTCGGTCGACTAGTGCTTTAGCTGCACCGGTAGCTTCGGGGTGAACGTCTGCGTCGGGGACGGGCATTGTGAAATGGATGTGGAATTGACGATGGGATGATCCGGTGGGCGGCAGGGGCTGTTTATTTCTACTCAAGGGATGGTGTCATGGGCTTATTAATTGATGGCATCACAACCCCGCATGCGGTAAGGGTCAGATATGCTTACAGTGAAGTAGTGATAATGGTAATCTACTAAAGATAAGAGTAGAGAATAGCTCAATTGTGATACCAGCATGAATGTCGCCATTAACGAGTAGAGAACAATCAACGTAGATGGCATCTCAAGGCATTCTAGAAACGAGCTCACTAGCAGCTACTCCATCCGGGTCAAACATTAATCCCCATATTTCCTCAGCAACTTCTGCATAATAGATACAGCGCCCGATCGGTATCCGGCTCCAAAGATCGCATGGTGGTTCAGATGATGGTATCTGTGTTTGGTTAGCTTCTTTCTCGCGGATCTAGATAGAAAGCCAGGAGGACAACTCACAGCTCGTACAATCGCACACGGTCCTCATATTCCTCCACTGGCTCGGTTTTCGGCACAATCTTGTGATAAGCTGTGAAGAAAGCCGATCCAAACCCGCCAAACATTCTCATTATCCCCAATTCATACTCGCTGTGTGCGTAGCATGCCGACGGATCGTAGACCACATCGCCCACCTCCTCGTCATCCTTACGACCGCTACCCACAATATGACCGCGATCTGCATTTCCACTCCACAAATCCCCATGGACAACGACAGGTATAATGCCCTGTCCATTCCCGTCCCTGTCGTAGCCTAAGTGTCCGTCCCGCAGCAACGCAGGGACCACTGTCCGCGCCGTCCGCTCCACCAGATCCCGCAAGCCAG